AGGAATGCCTTTTTCTTCCACTGAGATTAGAGGAGAAAACATACCCGTGGACCAAAGTTTTAGAAAGTTCAAATCAGCAGTGATTACCGAGATGTTGCCTTCATAGAAGGAACACTGAAGGGCTTTGCAAAAAAAGAACAACTACATCGTGAAAGACCGAAAACATTTCCGTGCATGTGCTGGTCAAAGATATAACAAAGTAGAATTTTAGGGAACTTACTTATTTCAACAAACAATCTTTAAAATTGGAGAAGTAGGAAGGCAAAGTTTTCAGAAGTTTTGTTTTAGCAACAGCATATTGCTGGTGTTTGTAGACTTATTTTTTTTTAAAGTCCAAGTAATATGTAGAATTTGATTTTAAAAAAAAAAAGGGGGTGGGGGGGTGTGCATTCCAGACCCTGGGATGATTTCTAAGTACACTGTAAGCCCACCATTGCTTGGGCATATACAGAAGACTTGAAGTAAAAAAGAACAAAGTCTTGTAAAAGCTTAAACGTTCTTTTCAAAGTGCGGGGTCACCACAGGGTTTAAAAGTGCTCTGATCTTTTTAACAGTGAAGATCAGTTTTAATAGTCCTCCCCTTTTTTTAATGAGAGGACTTCCTGGAGTCCTCCTACTCCAGTTAAGACAGCAGAGGGAATTTGGCTAAAAATGAGCTGCATTCAAACTAATCGCTAAACCCCAGACCTCTCTGTGGATCCGCATTTCACTTGCCAGATCCGCTCTGGAGGACGCGGAGGGAGGACACGAGCACGGCCCCAGCCCGCGGGCGCATCGGGCTCGCTGCGGTCACGCCTAGCAGGAGTTCTCCGCTCCTACGGGAGCGCGGGTGAGAGCCGCCGGAATTGTCGTCCCGCGGCAGGGCCTGGGTGCCACAGCACGGCCAGTCCAGCTGAGCGCTCCGCTGGGATCAATGGCTCCTCACGAGGGGAAAAAATGAACAGAATGAAGTTGCAACATTTTTTTTCTTTTTCAATCAAGGCAAGATGCCTGCGAATGCTGGGCAAATACTTAAAAGCCAAAAATCTTCCAGCTTCTCCGGACATCTGCTTTACTGATACGTACTTTCATAGACACACTTCTGCATCGTAACAGCTCAACTCTTCACTTCTAATCCTGGGTTTTAACAGCTCAGAATTAGTTTTGCAACTAAGTAACTCATCTTCCTCACAGAACTAATGGATAGGTTATTTTTTTTTCGTGTATCTTACTCTTGCTTGAGCAGGGAAGCGAGGTCTTTCAAGTCCCACCTCCAGGAGACAGAGTAGGGAGCTCGGCAGGGCGCTCCGGGCAGCGCCTGCACCCCCTCAGCTCGCCCCCTTTTCAACCAGCGCTGTGCTGAGCTGTGCTGCTCAGCATGCTTTTACCTCCAGATCTTTCAGCGTGGCTAAAATCAGTGAGTTATAAAACCCTGCGCCACCCTGAAAGAGTCTCAGCACAGCCCGAAAGCAGCACTTCAAAAATACTTTCTTAGGAGACTCGGCGGCAGCGTACCTCCACAAGGCAGCATTTTCTAGTGCTGAACTTCCAAGGCCCACGAGTACACCAGCAGGTCTGTACCGCAGCGTCAGTCCTGTCCTGCCCCGTCATGCAGTCACAGGGCTGACGTCACGACGGTAACCACCTCACAGCCAAAACCACGACGGTAACCACCTCACAGCCAAAACCAGATTTCTGCTAAAAAGTTATTTCTAGACCTGTGCTTTTCACAGTGCAGTCAGCAGGCTCCAGGACAAAAGGCAGGAAGAAATCCTGCCAAAGCAGTCCCACCGATAACATGAAGTTCACTGCGGAAGAGACAGGATCTCATTTTAGCGGCCCGCAACAGGAAGAGGGTGAAACCCTTAAACCTGAAGCCACTGGTGGGATTTGAATTGGCGCTGGCTGGCAACCAACCTTCCACTGGCACTGAGAAGCAGCACGCTCGTCCCAGACTGGCAAACAACCTTCCACCGGCACCGAGAGGCAGCACGCTCGTCCCAGACTGACCAGCCTGCGAGTCCGCAGTGCCAAGGGGATGCATATCGAGGACACTCGTACCCAATGCCTGCTTTCAAGCACGGCAACCCCTGAAGCAACACCAAGAGCGGCATGGGCGGGCAGACCACACCAGGCAGTCGAGGCAAAAAGCAGAGGACAGCCGAGCGCCACCACACACACTTGTCACCTCTTCACAACAGGACATCCCCCCCCACCACCACACCAGCAAAAAATGCTCTGTGGGCCATCCCTTGTTCTGCGGGGCGAGGACGCACAAGGGGGATGTGAAGCCGTGCATGGTGTTCACTACTTCTGGGGAGAAAGGAAGGAGGGAAAAACAAAGAAAAAAAAAAAAAGGTGTAAAAGCAATCACCTAGGGAAAATGTTACATCTTCATGAGTAAAAGACCAAATGAAGGGTGGCAAGGTACCGCATTTTTTTTGTTTTGTTTCTAAAACACAAATAGTGAAGACATCCAAGCACGAAATGGTTAAACTGCAAAACTGTGGCTTTTATTTCCAAACATACAATAAATAGGTCCACCACAACTAGCCTCTAACTTCATTTTACACGGAAGGATTTTCAAATCAGTTTGTGCATATTTAAAAAGTAAGCTTCCCTTTGCACGTAATTCCATACGTAACCGAACTGCATGACACACCAGTTCATGGTCTTGGCACTGTGATGCAAGCAACCCATAGGAATCAGAGCTTTGCAGCAAGCACTTGAACAGAAATGGCATTTTGAATTGTGATAAAACATCTACCAACGATTTAATCTATTTCTGAAGGACACAGAAAACTTTAGCATGTAAACGCTGAAAAGCAAGTTGTCTTCTCTGATATTTCTGTAGGGGCTGCAAGGTAAGTGAACACTTAAATCCACTATTTGCTACATGATACAATTCTCATACCAAAATATCTTTACTGCATAGTAACATTCTGTATTTCCAAATGCAAAAAGAAATTAGATGCGGTCTTTTTAATTGATTCCTCATCACTGAATTTAAAGACATTTTTAACCACAACTCTGCTTCATCACAGTGCAGAAGGCCCTTAGTATTTCAAGGATTTATTCAGTCATATCTTTAATATAAAAGTAGAGGCTGAGGAAAAGCCAGAGTAGTCTATACACAATGCACAATCTGTGTACATTCTGAAGCTGTACCTCTTCAAGAACTATTTATACACTCTTCAAACAAATCCCTTTATCCAGCAATTCAAAATACTTTAGATCAGAAGTTTTATATTAGAATCAATACAATATATGCATATAAATACATTTATACCCTTCGGTTGCTAAACAACCCAGATGGCTGCGAGGACGTGACCTGAACTGGTTCTCCATTGGTTTGGGATGCCAAATTGTATCGGCAGCTAACTGTTAACCAAAACAGTCACAGGAAAAAAATAAAAACAAAATAAAAAAAAAAGAAAAAAAGGGAGATCTTTGCACAGGGTAGGTGTGCCACAGCATCAGTCGAGACTAGAAATACTGGGTGACACCCTGGCCCTTTCAGCAGGGCCAGGATTTCAGCTTCTGTGAGATGCAACACACAGGCAACATTTCTTTTCCTCTGCCTATGCCCCATTCGTGAAAAGTCTCAGCAGAACAACAACAAAAAAAAAACCCAACCAAAAAAAAAACCAAAAAAACCAACAAACCAAAGCTTTTACAACTGCGAATTTTCTTACAAGACAGGTGCTGCAGCTTTCAAGAACAGAGTAAAAGTTTTATAATTAAAAACTAAAATTAAAAAAAACCCAAAAACTAATGTGCAAGTGTGTAGTTCAGAAGACAACAGCAAGGATCAGTACAGACCTCAGTTTGAGCTGAAACACAGTATCCAAACTGTCTCACGGAAAAATAGTTCTCACTGCAAATCTCATCTTCGGTTAATGAGTGCGCTTATATATACTTATGTACACACCTGCCACAGGCACGCACCCCTCCTTCCCCCGTACAACCGGCAGCACCCGTGGCAGCAGTCGCCTCGGTGCCTCCAAAGCCCACCCAGGCTCCAGCCCTGGCCCAGCATCCGAGCCCCCAGAGCCCTGAGCCCCCAGGACGGTTTTTAGCCACTGGCGCTGACTCGCCTCCTGTCAGTGAGCATCTCAGGAGTACTCGGAGCAGCAAGCACTGGTGCAGCAAGAAGCGTTCTCAACTTTTGTTTCTTAAAGGATACAGAAGTGTTGACTCTCGTGAGTATCCTCCAAAGGTGCTAGAAGTTTTAAGTTTGAAGCGTTTCTTTCCACAATGCCAGGTATACAAATGTGTGCCTTTTTAAATAATATTGCACATAAAAATCATCTTAAACTTCGTAGTGAAAGCAGGGTTGAAGGACAGTGTTTTCCAAAACAGATTAAAAAGCTACCTGTACATAGTAAATTTTAATTTAAAGAACGCCAAGATTATTCAAAATCTAAGCACGTAATACTGACAGAAAAATGTTAAATTGCACAATCTACATATAAATTACATTTGTAAATACTTAAAACTTTTAAAACATTGAATACCCTTGATTTCACAAATCAGCTAGGTCACTGTCAAAGGATCAGCTTGATGAGTTAGAAGTACTTTCCCCCAGAAAAAAAAAAAAAAATAGAAACAAAAAGATCTGCAGTCTTAGACGAAGCACTGGAAAGAGTTAAAGCATTTCAGCTCAGAGGTAGTGCTAAACACATCCAACTAGAATTCCATTATATTTGAACTATGATGAAATAACGTAGTAAAATGTAGAAAGACTATAAAATTTACAAAAATAAATAGTTCTGAATGCTTTAGAAAATGCAAGAGACTTCGTTGATAAGTGTCCTGATCTGCTTTTCTGACCAAAAGAAAGCAAAGCGTGTCTCATTTTTAAAATATACCCATCTCTAGTAATGCATCTGCAATCCACACAATCCAACTATGCAACTTGACATACGCCAACTTGGCATAGACTCTGATATTAAAAATAAAGTGGAGGCTTTGTAAAAGATCATCTCGTATGAAATTTGTTTTGCATGTAAATTCTTCTGACAAATTAAAAATTGCACATAAAAAAGTTTATTGAAAGAGGCATGAGGGGTGATAAGGGTATGTGCCTATTGTTCCACACACACCCTGGAAGGAAAAAGATGATTGCACAGTTCTGATAAATAAATATTTCTTTTTTTAAAAAAAAATCTGCCACTTTTTTGGTTTACAAGTTTTGGAATTATTTAGAAAATCCCACTATGGACAAATTATTTTTAGTTTGTGTTTTAAAGAATTCTTTACAACTTTTCCAGTGGCTTTTATCCTGAAACCAAATGAAAGTGGCAGTTAAAAAAGTATCTTTGGGTAAAACAAGTATCAGGATCCAACAAGAATTTCCATGATGTGGTCCAACTCACTCAGATCCGTTCTACACATCTGAATGTTGCTCGCTGAAGAAGAATTACAAGATGGAAAGGTTTTCAATGGTTCTTCTGCAGCAAGAGATGGTGGTCTGGGCGGCATTAGCGGAGGGCAACAAAAGTCTGAATCATACATCGAAGTGTCAATATCTTCAAAAATATCATCTATTGCCAAATCCTTCAAGTAACTAGTTGAATTTGAAATCTCAAAGGAACCAAACACACATTCAGCTCCCTTCAAATCCTGTCTATCATCTTCTAGTTTTAGACTGGGATTTTCTGGAAACTTTGGCTGGTCATCTCCAGTAGGAACCAGGCAAGTAGGCGGACTTATATCTTCTACAAAGTCTAAATCCTTCAGAATAGATGAAATAGCAGATGACATATCATCATCTGAAACTATCAGCAGGCTATTTTCAATCGGGTCTTCTACAGACCGCAAGTCGCAACAGTTAGACTCTTGCTGACTAATACCTGAAGGCAACTGAAGAGAAATCCCAGATGACTCCATCCCTGTGTAGCTGTGAGAACTAGGAGTAATGCCAGGGCAGACATTAATTGGCTGCTGGTTACTCTCTTGTCTCATTTCCTCTTGAATTTGCCGTACTGTGTTGGCTATGAGGACAGAGCGGTGCAAGTTCGGTTCCACCAGCATTTTGTACGTCTGTAACTTGGTGAGGCACATATTAAGCACCAACTGCCTCTTAAGCGGATATGGCAGATTTCGACTGGAATCAAAGGCACTCGAGAGACCAGCCATGTTCTCCTCATAGTCACTCAGCTTGCGTTTTAGACCTCTCCCCAACATGAACCTGAAAGAGAGAAATGACGAGTTAACCTTGGGCAAGACCATCGCTTCTTCTGCAAGATCTCCACAGACACTTTTCAGAAGTCTGTAGCATACAATGTATTGATTAAATTAAGACTCCAGTACCGCAGAACACTGAAAGAAAGAATAAAATCCCCCACAAGATACTACTTTCATTGAGAAGATGCACTTTCCAGCTCTGTTGTTTCACAATTTTTTTTAAACAGAAAACATGAAAGAAATATAGTAACTGTTTTTTAAAAAAAAGCTATATACTTCTAAGTTTTGGTTTTAAGGTTTACTTTTAATATGAATTTAATTATTTAAAATCTTTAACAGGTGAGCTTTTTAGCCTCTTATCCTTTTATATTATATAGCATACAAAAATTCATTAATGAGAAGTATCTGAATGTCCACATGAAATAAAATAGATGCTTATGTTAAGGATGACAGTAACTATACAGAATATTTCAGCATTTTCATCTTAACATTTGTTGCTAGGTACAGCAGGTAAGACTTTAAAGCTAGTTTCAACACCCATTTTTACCTCATTAAGGTATTCCTTATGTTTTGCTCAGTGTCTCCGAGAATTCTCTACAGAACTCATTTCTTTCCCTCCTGTTTGGTGACTTATTGTTCTACCACAGTTGAACCACCCAGCAAGGCCAACAACTGGGACTCCCATTGGATCCTTATATCCATTCCACAGCGTAGTTTAGCTGAAGAGTGGGGAGGAGATTTGGCTGAGCCAGATGATTCATAGCCTGCTGATGATTTAACACTAAGGACATCCAGCAGGAGGCTATCAAATGGCATTTAAAAAGTGACCAATTTTGGTAAATAGCTAAAAAAAAAAAACAAACCCCACCAAATAGCATTTGGTTGCTTTAGTCTGCTTTGTGTGCTTTTGCATTGAAATATGGTAGGTTTAGGACACTGTGGTACAAAAACCTGTAGGCACGCACACCTAAAATACATGCGATCCAAACAAATACATGCTTGGATACTTTGCAAATACCATTCAAAACGCAAAGTGTTTTATTAGCGACAACAAGCACTATGCAATCACTTGTATAAAGACAGCACAGGAGTATACCACTCACAGGAAACACCAGCAGAACCTTGATTGCACACATCTTGATGTGTCCATGGAATAGACACTTCACTCCCAAACAATTAAAAAAAATTCAGCAATTGTAAATTAGACACCCGGTGGCAGATTAAGGGCAGATCCTTCACACACAACGATCCAGACCCCGCGTGCTGCAGAGGGCCTCCCAACTTCCTTTTCATGCGAGCACTGGACACTGCCAGCAATTGCTCAGCTGATTGCTGCAGCTGCCAGCCTGTTGCTAGACTTTTGGGGACAAGGAGAAGGCAGCAGAATAAAGCCTCTTTTACTTTTGGGATTTCTCCAGATTTGCGGGAAGCACTGCAGGGCTCCATGGCTACATCCCTCTGCCTAGACAAGACTGTTGGAGAACTGTGCTCCTCTGGAGGAACAGAAAGTAAGCAAGCAGTGCATACTTCTCAGAGAGACACACAGACAGTTGGTAAAGGAGTTTAAGACTTCTCCATCACACCCACTTTTTCTTTTAGGGACATACCTGGAGGAAATCAAATTTGTCATTAAGAATGCATTTTTATGTAACAGGTAGTAGCTTGGCCTACAGTTCAGTTTACTAACACATTCACTATTAAAAAAAACCAAAACAAAACTTTAATTACTTGTAATTTTACCAGTGCTGCAATTTTTTAACTTTGGAAGTCTGTTTTACTCCGAAGTTTTCTGCTAAACTGCCACAGCATCAGCTGAACCCCTTTAAAAAACATAAGGTGTCTGGATGTGGTGTGCCTGTTCACCTAGGGGATCTCCCCACACTTACCATGCATCGCTCCCCCATCCCAGCACACCATTTAGAGCAAACAGAACCAGACAGTACTGAGCACTCAATTACAAACAAAATCAGCAGAAATCTGGATACAAAGTTCAGGCACCAAATATAATAAGTATTTGGGAGGGCAGTGTGTGTGTCAGGCATCCTCAATCAAACTACTGACAACGCTGTGAGCAACTGATAATTTTAGACACCATCTGTGGAAAATCATGATTATACAGGACTTTACAGTCAAACCGTTGCTAAATAAACCACCTCATAACATATCATGAAGAAAATTAGTGTCTGAAAATCATAGAAAACTCACAATAAAACTATAAACACTCAATTTTCAGTAGCATTTAAGTGTTGTGTACTACCTAAGGCATTACCCCATACCATTACTATAAAGAATAAAAAACCAAAAGGGATATTTGTTCACCAAGCACCATCCTTCCCATACACTGCATACTAGTTTGCGGGTTTTTTTCTTTTTTTTCTCTCTCCACTAACTAATTAAGGCAGATCAAAATTCACACTCACAAGGGAACGAAGACCATACAGGGAACAGTAATTCTGACATTTTCTACATTCAGAATACTTGGTAACAATTTACTGCTTTTAATATATTTTAGAATATATATTTACACTTCATTAGACACTCAGGAAATACTAGACTTATCTACTTGAATTATATAAATAATGTTAATTTCTAACATCTCAAAAATGTGCTAATATTTAAATTCTGGAAGGAAGCTTAAAGAGCAAGCAAACTATCATATATTAGGATACAGAATTTCACAAAAACAACGGAAAATTAAACACTTAACTTTTAAATTCATTCAGTAGTCTAATTAGATTAAATATTCCAAACTCATATATGCAGACAGCCTTTTCATTCCTCAAATTTCCTTCATAAAATTTGTCCCAGAGCATTCTAGAAATATGTAACAAGGCTTGCGCATGACAGCATTCTGAACTACAAAAATTAAGTGCAAGAAACATCATTTGCTCCAACTTCAAATGTTTTACTTAACCGACTCCCTACTCTCTAGATGTCAGGGTTTTTTGGTTTTGTTTTTTTGTTTTCTTTTGTTTTTGTTTTGTTTTTTAATACACGTAGTTCTGTCTTACATTTTGGAAATTCTGCCTGTTCAGTATGATTTTCGCCTAATTCCAAGGAGCCCTAAGTCTCCCTCCAGTAGCTAGATGATTTCAGAGGTTACATAAAAAATTGGAAAAGGCTACTGAAAACCAGAGTACCCCTGGCACAGTGGATTTAAAAATTACTAGTGTCATGGTTGCTACAGGAGACATTAAATTTCAGTTCTTGTCAAACACACTCAGCTGCTGACCTACAAAAGATACAAAGCCCCTTTGTTAGCAGCTAATCTACATTTTATCAGGCCTTTTGCTTTACTTTCTAGAGCAAGAATTTCTGAGAGGGTCATAGCCTTAAACTACTCTGTATTTTCCAAGTAACTTGTCCTTTTATAGCGTTGCATGTTAACACACACATCCCACACCCAAAATTCACAGGCCAGTCAAATGCTCTCTTTCGATAGCGTTACTTCGCAGTGTAAGATGTTGATCTCATTATTTAATTATGCAGTGCTCCTCCCACTTCAATTTTTGGTACTAAGGAAAAGAAACAGAAGTCCATGCAACAATCCGGGCCGCCATGCCCAGGCAGCCCTGTATGACTGGGTGGCTGCTCCACGCTTGTCAGTCCTTTCGATCAGCCTGTTCAAACCAGCGCAGGTTGGGCATACCAAAATTCGAAGGGTGCCTAGAAACTGCACTCTCCTTACTCCAGCCTGATTCCAGGAACCTACTCAGATCTCAAAAAATCGGATCAAGTAACAGGATTTTGGAACGTGCCAATCTGATAACTCTGTAATTTGTAAGTAAATAAACTGAACAAAAATTAAAAGTTTATGCCAATTTCAAATATGAGGTCTACACATAGCTGTTCAATAATAAAAGCAGCAAGATGTAAGTCACCCTTTTCTTGAACTTTAGGAAAAAGTTCAACCACCACATTTTTTTGAGTTCAGATGCTCTATTTTAGAATCTTGTGTCACAAAAACCCCAAGAACAATGAGGAACACCACAACTCAGTAATTTTTTTCTGGCATTTTCTCATCTTCTCTTGTTATAGTAACACAAACTGAGCCACAGGCCATTTATGGCAGAATGCTTTTTTAATTAAAATTATTTTGCACATATGGAGAAAAGGAAGCAAAGTGAACTCAGTGTTTAGGAGTGCCAGACTCTCCATCCATATCACTGAACTACAAAAGAGCCTGTACGTCGAAATTCTGCCCCTGACAGCATGTTCCCCTAGTTCCTTCCAGTTCCACAGAGGACATTTCACAGAAACTCCTCCCTGCTAAGATGGGAAGAAGCACCCATGCACTGTAATCCTACACCGCACCAGGGTTTGAAAAAAAACGTGGAGGGAAGAAGCACGTCCCTCGTTGGCAACTCCACACAGAATACCAAACAAACAGGCCTGGTCAGAACGTGCAGCTACTCAGAAGAAACTTTCCAGGCTACCAAGAAAAATTCACGTTGCGATGAGTTGTGGACAATACAGGACTCGTGTCACCATTTCAGAGGAAAAACACAGCTCCATCTGTCACAGGGTCTGATAGTGCAGTGCAGCTGCCACTGACACATGGTTAGGAAATACAGCTGGAAACAGTCACAAAGAAGAATGCAGCATGTTAAAACCCTCAATTACTTCTATCTGGGCAAAGTACTTCTTAATTTCCTCTTCCTCACCTTCCAAAAAAGGTTCTAAGAGCAAGTTAAATAATGTTTAGAATTCAGAACAGCACACAGCTTTAATTTTCAGTAAAGTTTTGAAGCTTTTTGAAGTTTTTTTTAAATAAGTGTATATAAAACACGACCACCACAGTTAGCATTGTCTGAACATGAACTTTTCATGCACAAAACAAGCACTATAGTCAACTACACAAGAGTTATTCATTTACCATTAAAGAATATGTTTAAATAGCAGGATCATCAATGAAGTACTTGGCTTGCACTACACAGGTCAAAATAATTTCATTGATAGTAGTACCTTCTGGCTTTTCTTTTTAGGATATTATTAAAGTCAGACTTGCTTGATCTTTTTGATTCCTGTTGAATTTTTCAGCCTAAGACTGTGATAAATTACTTTTCCTCGTAGGACAGAAACAGCAGATGTGAATAGGTGTAAGCAGCTCATGAGTGAAAGATGCCTGTTTAGTTTTCAGTAACACTACTTAAGTATTAAAATCAAAATTAGAGACTCCTTGCTATTGTGATTTGAGTAATTCCCTACCCGAGTCTCTTTTGGCTTGTAACTGTAGAAAGCACGTGACAGTAAAAACCTTAGTCCCTCTGGATTGTAGACCTATGTTAGTGACTGACCAATGTTGACTGATAACCCGATTTCCTGCTCTCCCCTCTCTTCCATGGACACACATTTCACAAGCATGCATCTATCTGCGGGAAGTGCAAAGGAAGACAAACATCCCTATAGTTATGGTTATTTCCCAGAATTATTTGATGTATGCTGCATACTATTTTTAATTATAATCTTTCCCCTACCCGACATACATTTTAGCTTAGGCAACACAACTTCATGAATAGTTTTTTTTTAAGTGGTGGACTGGCTCTTGACTAGTATTCCATGTTGTCCTGGTTTCAGCTGGGATAGAGTTAATTTTCTTCCTAGTAGCTGGCATAGTGTTGTGTTTTGGATTTAGTATGACAATAATAATGATAACACGCTGATGTTCTAGTTGTTGCTAAGTGGTGCTTACACCAGTCAAGGACTTTTCAGCTCCCCATGCTCTGCCAGGGGCACAAGGAGCTGGGAGGGGGCACAGCCAGGACAGCTGACGCCCACTGGACAAAGGGTCTGTCGCAGGGGTTGGGGTAGCTGCAGTGCCTACAGCCGATGTTGGAGTAGCTGTACGTTGTGGTGGCAACTGGCACCCGTTGTTCTTCAACCCTCAGCAACCCCACAACAGAAGGGTCCTCCGACAGACCGCACAAGAAGCCGCACAAGAAAAAGGTAAGGCCAAAGGTACAGTTCACTGACACAGTATAAATCCTTTCCTCCCATCCGGACTTAACACTGATCACTTAAACATGACTTACGCAACACAGTAAGCTGCCAGACTGCACAGAATAGTGTAGCTGATCTGGTGTCCCCAGCAAGTGTTGGAGATCCCCGTAACATCACATCTTGGCTGTTAGCAAAAATTAAGAGGAAGTGAGGGAAGGAGGATTAAACACCTTAGAAAATACCTAAGTAAACAGTAATTTGGACCTGAAGACACTTCAAAATACACAAAAACGTATTTAAGTCCATTTCCACCCCACCCCCCCAGCCCTGCCCCAGTTTAGCCAAGATGAGTAACTGCTGGAGAAGGCACAAATAGCTAAAAGTGTGCATACAGGGAGGAGTGCAGTCCTACCAGCTTACTTCCATACCTAAACTCCTCTGTAACAACTTCTTCACAGGAGTCAGAAATGACCGGAAAATAGGTGCTCCAAGAAGGGAGAATTAACATCAACTTTTTGGTTACCAAATCCTGACCGAAGTCTGTGACTACTAAAGCAACTGAACCCCAAACCAACCTAAAACCAAAACACACCCCCAAACCACACCGAAAGAATCCCACACCTATGGATGTACATCCTTCCCAGCATTTTGAAAATAAAGAGAAGGCTGAGTAATATTCAGTAAGTACAGGAAAGAAATGAGAGGAAGACTGAGTCTAACACAGAATTAGTCTGGAATTCATAACCTTCCGACTGTCACTTCACTATTTGTGGAAGTAGAGAATAAATATGTATCACACACTAGTATTTTAGGAACTGAAGCAGTGTTTACAAAGCACTTGGGAGTAAGTTTTACCTCGATTTAAAAGCTAGTTTGATCCCCCACACACACAACCTCTTTATGTTATGTCTGACAGCATCTGGAAAATTCCTGCACTTAAAGGACATCTTCCTAAGTTACTTACTCCCATTTTATTTCATAAAGTACTGGTAAGAGCTTTGCTTTACAAACAGCTACCACAGCTAAGCTTCAGAGCACAACATTTCACTCCAGAGAAGAAACAGAAACACATCTTAAACATCTGTTAGGATGTGTACCTTCTACAAGCTAAAACAAGCGGACCTGGGCTGTTTACAACAGTAAATAAACCCTGTTCTCAGCAGCTGATATGTATCACTAATACAGAAAGCTGCTGGGGCAGTTCCAGTGTTAGGCAGAGGAAAAAATTCCATCCTTAAAAGAAAGCAAACTAAACCACTGTCACTCGTCTTCCTCTCTCCCTCAAGACTTGTGTATTTAGTTCCACATTTACAAATAAAGCTCATGGGTGTATCTTTTTAATGAAAGTGTGCTTAGCAGATTTTTTCCCAGGAATTTTGGGTGGATTTTTTTTTTTTAGCAGAAGGGCAGAGAATCATTTAAACTAAGGATCAATAATAGTTAGCAAAGGCTGACACATGATTGAGAGTTACCAAATCTAGAAACTCCCATAGTAAAACTAAACTGTAATTAAACGATAACATAAAGGAATCCAAACAACAAGAACCAAACCAACAGGGTTCCACCAAAGCATCTCACTGGAGAGACAAATGATCATTAGAACTGCAAATGCAATGACGTACCTCTTCAGAGCTTGTTCTAATCAACTGAACAGTTCTCAATCCGTTTTCTTTACACTATCTATTTACTTCAAATACAGAGATACTGGATGTATTCACCTACATAACACTGACATGTATTTTAGGGTTACAGTGATCTAAATAAAGATCCATTAATAACAGAACTTACAGCTTATTAACCATATCCAACTGGCACGCCCATACTTTAACAGAAAAATTGGACCATTAACAGTAAAAGCAACCAAGGAAAAAAACCCAACAAAACCCCAACTCTCTTTTCCTGATAAGAGGACCATGCATTTACTCTAGCTCTCCATACGGGATATGTTTCCATAACCAAATCAGAATCACTTCAAGTTTTCTCTAACAGAGTAGCACACAACAACTTTTCTTCAGTATCCAAAGTGCCTTCTCCTCACAAGACAAGACTGTAACACTCAACTCCAGCAGCTGAACAGCAGACCTCACTGTAAGATTGAGGCCTTAGTTAACAAATTTCCAAGAAGTGTGATCTTATGGCCATATTACATTCTTTGTTAATTATAGTACTTCCTCATTATAAAGGAGAAAAAAAAAAAAAAAGTAATGGAAATTCAGAATATTCAAATCAAAGAGCTTATACTATTCAGTGAGCCTAAACCACTTCACTTTATAATATGCACTCCGTTTTTAAAAATTATTTTTCAGTTTACCATTCTAACCCACAAAAATAACATCTACATCTAATTATCAGAACGTGTGCTATGCACATAAGATATGATCTCATAAAAACATGCAAGTAATTACCCTCAGAAAACAGAAAGGAGTCCAGGCAGGAAGATTCCAGATTTTGCATAAAGTGTGGTCATCCAAGAGTCTTGAACTATTCAAGAGGCCAAGCCATCCACCGAGGTAGGATGATGTGACTTAAGGGGCAAAACAAAACAAAAAACAGAGTATTTAATTACTATATGATTTTTTTTTTAAAAACTAGAAGTATTAAGCACACAATTCAATACAACTTTTTAAACTGTCTGTACTAAAACCTATGCAAATAGTTAAACAGAATAAGAAAAACTGAAGTGCATGAATACACTGAAATAGGAGGACCTGATAGTTTCACCTATGAACGCATAAACATGGAAATTATTATAAATGAATACTACAGAATAGAATGCTGATCCTCTAAGTGTTAGGCTTTAGGGTAAGAACTTGCATTGATACTTCTTTGGGTTAATGGACACCAATTTCCAATTTACTGTTGTAATAAACTCAGAAATGTGTCAGGAGAGAAAATTCCATAAACTGTAAAAAAGCACACTTCAGAATTATCCCCTAACACTTACAGGCTGCAAAAGGAGTTAAGATATTTATTAAATTCCCTCACCTTCCTCATTTTCAGCATACACAAAACCAATATGAGAAGACAGCTGGCAGGATGTCCTATGATTGCATATAATATTCAGTGTGGCATCATTTTCATCAAAACTCTCATAAAGCAACATCTGCAGTTTGGCTAGAGACCACGTGGATGAAATCATGGATTAGATCAAGGCACTGGAAACTCTGGGAAGTGCGGAAAGGCTGAAGTGACAGTGAACTATGGAGTAGGCTAGGAGATGTGGAGTGAATTGCATCATCTGTGCTCTTGAGGTGTCAATTCCACCTGAAGAATCAAAGTTTTTTAATTCCAAGAATTAAAGCCCTTATACAGGCTAACAGCCTACCGCCTGGATTGTATTGAACATGTTTGTGTGTGCACAATACACACACACCCCCCGCCCCGCAACTACAGCAAACCAACTGCTTCACAAATTTACCACAAGAGCAAGGACCCAGTACTTATCCAGATAAATACAGTCCTTCCTGATCAAGGCTTTACATGTTATTTTACAAATCTTGAAATAATACATAGTGAAAGGCAGTCTCACATTTAGGCAGATGGACAAGTAAATGAGTACAGTCCATTTTACATAGCAACGGACAGCCTGATGCTAGCAAAGGGCTCCTCCGTTTACAGAATCTCAGAACTGTACAGATGCAATAAAAAAACAGCAGTAAAATGCCTGTGACGCAAGAACGCCAAACCTAACCCACAGCAATAAACACATTACTATCTCCCTCCTCCTTCTAGAAGCTGACTTCTTTCCTATCGTAAGGAGATTCACACTATTTGTAAGTGAAAAAAGTAAAACCAGACAAACGAAGATTCACAACCTATTTGATTTGAAGCAGCAGGACTTCAGAAGGTCACTACTGAGGTTTATTAAAGTGTAGCTGTTAGGTCACAGGGGGAGGTGTACATTCGGGGCATTTTCTGTGCAATGAATATAGAAGAACAAATGTTTTAGAATTTTAAAGAAGAACTAAAGAATCCTAAAAAGCTAACAAGCGTGTAAAATGTGGAAAAGTTTTAGACTTCAGCACCTTAAAAAAAAAGTAAAAGCATTTGATAAAAAAATTAATACTGTTCATTATACTGTAGAATTCCAACCTTTTGCTGAAGAAGCTGAAGTCTAAGAAGTTATCAAATTTAATTCCTTTATTATATACTTTAAAGGACTCCTGCTAAATTAACTGTTGAGGTTATGATTTTTTTTTCCCTGTATGATTTCACAAGGGGCTGAGCGTCAGGAAGAAGTACAGAGGTTACTAGGTGGAGTTTATACAATCTGTTAAAAAAAAAAATATAGAAGACACTAGTAGTAAATCACGATGAATTATACGTGTAGCATATTATTTTTTCTTTCATTTTCTTTTACCGTCTTCCCTCGCAGTTTCCTATTACCTTTTATGGGTCACTACAGAAATTTGAGATTATAGCATTAATTGCGGTATTAATGGTATGTTCCATATTGCAGTTAACTGCCTGAACTAAAGACTCTTCAGCTGAATCAAAAACAAAGTAGAAAACCACTGCACCGGGCTCCTACCTATGTTTTCGGAAATGAGCTGTTCCGACATAGTTTGAAAAATTCCAGGCCTATCCAGGGCGCTAATTATTAACCGCATCTACCGGCGAGATGAATTTACGATACGCGCAGAAGGGACCACGCTCACGCACCTCCCTGCGGCTCAGCCCCACGCACCCGCTCGCCCAGGCAAACGCAGCCCCGCTATTTAAGACGCAGCCGCAGCAGA